CTTGGTTCGGTTCGGGTTCGGTTCACTTATTTGATCTGTAGGTTCGGTTCGGGTTCGGTTCGGTTTACAAAAATGCGGTTCGACCCATCACTAGTACATTCCATTTCAGTTGGAATGAGATTGCTCCAAATGCATGTAGGAACTCTTCTGTACTAGCTAGTTACAGTTTGTGTGTAATTTGGTCACTGTTTTTACAAAATCTCATGGTCACTATTTTATTATCTCGTTTGTTAAGAGTTGTTTACATAATGGCACTTTATTCACCTTCAATGATTCACATGCTGCTGTTATAGTATGCTTCACTTTTTTGTAGTTAAGGTATGTTGCTGTACAGACTTTTGTGTAAATAATTATTTGGCTGGAATTGGTGGTACATATGTCTACAACACATGTTGTTTGTATTTCATATATTATAGCCTTTTTAAGTCAAAGCAAAGTTTAGATATTTACAGTAAATGTTACATCATGTTGAATCATTTTATTTATTTTCATAGGTATTTCTTGTTACAATTTTTGAGTGAATGAGAGCACTTTTTTTTTCTTTGTCACATTTGATTAGACAAAATGCATATATGTTGCATATTTTTGTTTTATGTCTAAGTTTTATGATACTGTACCATAATTTATTTAAAGGGAGTCAAAGCCAACACCCAAGATCTGTAATATTATTTTCAACTGGATTAGTGGCAAGGTGCGTATGAGTGACAATGTAACTGAAGTCATTTTGGTAAGGTTAATGCTACATCGCTCAAGTTTCTCAATCTTGTCATACTCTGAATAATAAGCCAAATCGCTGAATCCAGTTTGGAAAATTTCCTTTACTGTTTCTCAAAATATATGTTTTACTCTTATAAAGAAAAATCCCCCTTTGGGTTTATTTCTCAAAGATTGTTTTTATATCTCAACATAAGTACTGTTTTTGTCTTTATTTACTGTCACGTGCAGATAAGTTTTTCCCACCCAAATAGTCTTTTCTGCTGATGCCAGATGACATGCATCTTACTGGTCTAGTGTTATCTAGTATTATTTTGGAATGTTACTTAACAAAGTGGCAGGTCATAAAATAGCTGCTGAAAATGTACAGAGTAGTTCTATGAATAGGAGTAAAGATTTGTCTGTATGGTATTTTTCTAGAAATTGTTATTTTCCCCCCCCCTGCCCGTCTCTCAGATATTTGATCCTTCTATGTACGTATCTGGGTACACTCCTGTTTTTGTTTCTCAGATGGATGTTTGGCTGCTAGGTCTTCAGATGACACGTGGTTCTGCTTATTGAAAGTTTTAATTCTGTGTCTCAAAGTTGACAGATGCATTACAACTACCAAGAGAACCCAGAACGAGCTTAGATTCTAATAAAAGTAGGGTTCTTCTGAAGGATAGAAATAGTTATCAAAAATAAATACCCTTTTCATATTTAAGCTCCAAGTGCATTGTTTGATGTAAACTTGGAACAGCAATTTTGCTTTTTGTAACTAGAATCACATCAAGCAACAAATATATCACAAAGTTTCAATTTAGATTTTGCTGCGGATAAATGTTTTTAAACTCAGTTGAAAGAATTAGCTTGCAAAGAATCTAAAACTGTTTCTTTCAAAGTGAACTACACATTCAAGTTAATGCCTATCAGCGTTTGGGAGTACTGTAGCCAGGAATAGATTGTGTACTGTGAAACACAACACATCTCTCAAAGTATCTGTCTTCTACAGGACTGTATGGCTTAAGAGAATACATAGATCCAGAAGAGCAAGTTTAGGTCAATCTCACTGTCCTTTTCTTGTTCACAATTAGATCAAAACTTGGACGGCTAGTTTCTTCACATTCTTCAATAACCTATCTTCAGGTTTTTATAACTCAGTGGCCTTAAGTTTGATACCCTGTCAAATTTTTGATCTAAAGTTGAGAAAATGTCTGAGTAGGTTTAAGCCATAATATTGAACTGAACTGTTGTGTAACATCTTAATGTGGCATGTTTATGATTGGCACTTAAAAATTTTTGAGATGAGAGGTATTAAATGTTTTTCATCCGTATTGTTTGTAAGCCAAGATTTTGTGATCCCATTTTGTAGGAAAAAGAAGAGAAATAATATACAGTAGATTTATTATTGTTGACTTTGTAGTATGTTGCTCTCCATACTTATTTGACCTTATGTTCTGATGGTCTTACCCATGTTTGTCTTATTTTTCTTCACTGAATCAATATCTATCTAAAATCTCCTTCAAAATTTACGATTTCATTCATTCTTATACATCACACTCTCTTTGAATGTGTTTTTAGTCGTAATGGTTTGGAGGCATAAGGCAGGTACACAATTCAAGCTAGATTTTACTCTGGTACTATTAATCTCTACCTTACTCAAGGTTTAATTTATGACATTATGAAATATGTTACATAGATTTCCAATCCTACAATTAAATTGCAGCCGACAGTGAAGTTTCTGTAAGTGTGAAGTAGTTCCCCTTTAAGGTACGAATTTTCTTCAACCTTGTCAAACTCCTATGAAGTTTTAGTTAAGCAAGACCGTAAATGGTGTGTCCGTTTGCCAACCTCTCGATTTTTAGGGGTAAATCACCTGCAATGTGTGCAAGGTGATGTATCCCATGGCTGTCACTATATTTTTTTGAGTATCTGAATGAAAGATATCACCTACTTAGGTTCCTTTCTCCCTGCCCATCTCATCCTGTACTATGAGTGCTGAATAATAAAAAGGAAAATATTTCAACCGATGAACTGCGATTACTAGTGAGCCTATTTATTATACACCCACCCACACGCTGGTATGTTCATAACTTGAAAAGACTGCACTGGTCGGAACAATCTGCCGACGACGGGATAGACTAGCCACAGACATGTCGGTGAGGTATGCGCCGTTTGATGTGGGGTGGTGTGGACCCGTTGCCTTGTCTGGGACTTCCACCCGGCCACCGAGCCGAGACAGCCTCTGGCAGCAGTATCGAGACGGTGGCGGTGCGTCGGTATGTGATTGAAGTCGGGTCGGGACCCCACCCAACCGGGCTGGGCTTTGTAGCGGTGTGGTGCGTGGATGGAGAGAGAGAGAGAGAGAGAGAAGAGAGGGGCGAGCCCGACACGCGCCTTCTCACTCGCACCTACCGCCGTCTCAATACACAGCGAGGGCCAGGACTGATGCAGATGCAGGCCCTCCGC